ACACACACACACACACACACACTCGGATACAATTCATGAAATCTAAAAACAAACATCAACGTTTTAATCATGTAAAACTTTTTTCATTTGTTTTTTAACTGTAAATTTTCATTTTGTTCATTTTTAACCTTATTTTTCTATATTTTTTTCCTGTTTAATAATCTGCAAAAATGAATTTTGGGTGTGTGTTTATAAATAGTCAGATTGTTTTGTTTTTAAACATATTTTTTATATAACACATTTTAAAATGCAACCCGTTTCTTTTTGGTGATTTCTTATTTCTGTGATTGTCTCTGGGGAAAAAATCTGATTTATTGTAGGCGTAGTTTTGACTTTAAGTCCGATTCTTTTTCTATCTAACTTTTTGTTTTTATTCTGTTTTTGAATCTTGGTTCATGCTGTAGGAAGATTTTTTTTTTTTATAGTCGTGGACTTCTTTGACTTTTATGTTTCAGGGTTTTTTTAGGATGTAGTTCTTTCTCTTGTCTTTTTTACAAACTGTTGTACTTCCCAAAATAGTTTTTTAATAATTGTTATTTTTCTTTTTTTTGATAAATATTTGTTGGGTTTGTTTCTAACTGAATGACTGTGCTGTGATTACCTGATGTGAGAGTCGTGTGCTGGTGTTTTTCTGTGTAACGAGTCTGATCTCTGTGTCAGTGAACGAAGTTTAAATGGAAAAATCAGACTGAGCTGAAAGGAGGAAACGATAATGAAAAACTCTGAGAATAAAATCTTTTCTGTCCCTTTGTCGTCTTTTCCTGCCGCTCTGGGTTTCAGGAAGCCTCTGGGCTTCCAGGATCTACCTGCTCACCTGGAGAAGCTGCTGTCTGAGGACACGCCTACGGAGGACGGTAAGGCTGGAAGCGTCTGTCTGCCTTTAAAACCAAACCTTATGTTCTGTGACTCAGAACGAGCTCAAATGTCTGATAACACCGTCACCTGAACCTGTGCAGGTCAGGCTGTGGACGGTCGTCTGGGTCCTCAGCCCGTTGTCCTCGATCACACCAGCGGCTTTGAAGGACTCCTGTTTGTAGACGACGACCTGCTGGGGGTGAGACACGCCGGAGACCATAAACCAGTGAAACCAGTCAAAGTTTGGACACGTGGCTGATGTTTGTCCAGACTTTTGATTGGTACTGTAGAAAAACACTTCCTATGTGTGATAAGTGTGTAAGTGTGATGAATTTCTCTGCATTCAGGTCATCGGCCACAGCAACTTCAGCTCCATCCGAGCGACCACCTGTGTTTATAAAGGTACGTTGTCTTAGAAAAAGCTTTGACTTTTGGGTTTGTGCTGAACTGACTCAGTAAATATGACACACAACAAAAATGAGCCCTGAAACAAAAAACTGTCACAGGAAGTGTGACCTTCTCTGCAGATGTGCGTGCTTTTCACAATAAAAGTGCAGTTTAGAAAGGTCGTCTGATCTGGTTTTCCTGTATTATTGTCGACCTTCCAATATAAAGCACCCTGAGGCGACTGTTGTGATGTGGAGAATGATTTTGGGCTGTTTCTGTCTGCAGGGAAGTGGGCCTACGAGGTGCTGATCTCCTCTCAGGGTCTGATGCAGATAGGCTGGTGTACCCTTAGCTGTCGCTTCAATCAGGAGGTATACACACACCTTGATGATGAACCCTGTAAAGGCCTTGACACGGCGCATGTTGTGGGGGGAAAACAAAACATGAAACTCGACTGGGAACTGGGGCCCGTTCTTCGTACGTCGCTTACTACATCCAAGATCAAATGACACATCCAAGATCAAATCATCGCGCTAACCGTGAGCTCGCTAATCCGGTTCCCCGAACACACCTGCTGTTGACGATTACTACAGCTGGATGAAGTAATGCGCGATCACTGGGTGCCGTAAAAGGGGCTACGCATCGATAGCAGAAACAGTGATCGGCAAGCCTCTGATTGGTCGGCGAAAATGTCGAAGGAGCG